CTAGCAAATTGTAGCTCTCAAAGACGTTGTCGAAGTCTGACCTAGTCAGTAACGAGTCCTAAGATAAGTGATCATATAATCCTCCGTTCTGCAAGATGTCATGTAGACAAATGAAATGGAACAAAATCATTGTCATTTTGCAACATTTTTTTTTTCTAATTTCTACTTTGTAGTGACAAGGAACTACAATTGAACACATCAATTCAGTCCTGATCGGGCCCGACACATAAGTCAACACCAAAGCATCGAGGGGCCCAAGATATCGATTTTCCCATTAGGGAAAAAAGAACAGATAAACTTAGGCTTATATGCTTGCACTATTTACTCATAAAATTATACACAAAAATACATTTTATAACACCGAGTTACTAATGTGTTTATGCATTATCAATGTACAACTAACTCGTAAACAACAACTCATATATTTCCATTTAAAGATTATATGATATTATCGTCTTAGAATTGCTCGTGATAAATTCCATGATGTAATTCACTGAGAGTGGGTTTAATCCAATACTTAAATCCCCATTTCAAAAGTATTCATGAATTTTTTAGGAAACCGTAGCTATGTCTAAACCCTTAGACAACGTACAACCCAATTCATGATAACCTTAATTCATTACTTAGATACATAGTATGATCTGTTGGGTTTTATATAATTTAACATTCATATGGTGCACATACAACCATAATGCTTTAGATATAAGTTTTCTCTAATTATACATACAATATTGGTTTCCAAATCATGAATCCTAACTAGCATACAATTTGACATAAACAACATTATAAAGCTAGTTAGAAGATTACCTCTTTGTTGTAGCTTGTAGAACTTGGCCTTTCAAGAGCTTAGCACCCTCAGTGTTGTCCCAGAAACAAGTCAAAAACACCATGAATGATTGTAGAATAATGAGAAAGAGGTTTGAGGTTCTAAAATCATCTACGCATACACCCTAGGAGTCATAGGGTCGATTTTAGCAAGCTAAGGGTTCCTTTTACAGTTTTGAATTCCTAAGGTTTAACTTGTAAACCCTAGCCCATTTACTTAATCCTTTAAGCAATCCAATAATCCACATGATGAGCCTTTTGGACTAGTTTATGGACTCTCACATAGATTTAGTCCATCCCAAATCAACATGGATCATTGTCCCAAAGTATAAATATTACTGATGACTTAATCAATCCCCGTTAATTTAATCAGTCTTTTTTGATCACTAAATTAATTCCAAATTAATTCTTGATCAATACTAATTAAATAATATGATTCCTCAATTAACATTTTATACTTATAATATATTAATAAATCATAAATAACCTCTTTCTCAAATATCCATCCTATTAAATTGTCCTGGTGAAGGCAAACCGAAATGGACCATGCTACTCTCGGGTCAAGTACATACCAGTTATAATTATGGGCTTAGAAATCTAATCTAACAGTTTCGCACTTGGATAAGCCTAATAGCTATAACTGCAAGTACGACTTGAAGAACCGACTAGCAATGGTAGCTCTCAAAAAGCCGTTGTCGAAGTCTGAACAAATTAATGACGCGTCCATTAGATAAAGGATCATATATTCCTCCATTCTACAAGATATCATATGAACTCAGACATGGATTGTAATCATTCTCTCTGTTCATGCCTTGTTTCCCGATTTCCGATTTATGACGACCAACTAATTGAACAAATCAAATCTATCCAGGCTTGGCCAAGTGCTTAGGGTTGTCATCACTAAATCACTGAGGGGCCTACATATATCGCTTTTTTCCTACATTGGGTAAAAGGAACGAATAAAATTTGACTCATATTCTTGTTGTACTATCAAATCACACACAACAATACATTTTATAACACCGGGTTAATGGTGCGTTTACGCATCATCAATGTGCAACCGACTTGTAAAATAGAACTCACATGTCTTGGTTTCAAGAATATAAGATATTATCGTCTCATGATCACTCGTGATAAAATCCATGAAGTGATTCAAATGAGCTTGGGTTTAGTCCTATACTCAAATCTTATTACAGGAGTACTCATGAATACTGCAGCAAACTTGTGTTATGTCTAAACCTTTAGACAATCTACAGACCCATTCATGATAGTCTAGCTTCAATACCTACTTCAAAAGTATGATCGAATGTGGATAGTTTGAATAATCATATTATTCGGGAAGTCAAAACATGCAAAGTGAAACACAAGAAGAATCGAATCCATGATGGTCTCAAAACTTTTGAATATAAATAAAACACCTTGTATTCAATCACTATATTGATTACACATTATTCATTGTATAATGTTTCGATTTATCAACTTAATACATGAATTAAAACAATATTTATCCATGTTGGATTAGATGTCGAAGCCCAAATTATTATTGGTATGTATTCGACCCGACTTGGCATGGTCCATTTGGGTTGCATAGCATCAGAACATTTTGGATAGGCTTTTGTGAGAAAAGGATATTAATGATTTGTTAATATATTATAAAATCTAATATATTAGTATGAAATCATATTATTTAATTAGTATCGATCAAGAATTAATTTGGAATTAACTTTGTGATCAAAAGGAGACTAATTAAATATATAGGGATTGATTGTGTAAATCATTCATTCTTATATATGTGGGCTTATGATCCAAATTTTTTCATGTTGGGTTAAACCTATGGAGTAACCCATGGATACTCCATGGAGGTTTTAACCCATGGATCATGAAGAATATGGAAACACATGAGTTACATGGTGTAAACATAATAGCCACAATATATATGGACCCCATGGCTCAAGAAATTGGCACTAGTGTGTGTACACATGAGGGCTAGCCGATTTGAGCATAGGAACCTTTTCTCTCAAGTTATTCCAAGATGTTGGTGATGTTGTGTGGACCATTTAAGGTGTCACATTTGAGGCACTAGGATCTTAAGCTCCATGGAGTCAAGCTACAACAAAGAGGTATGTAATTCTAATAGAATTTATATTATATGTACTTCATATTATGCTAGTTAGAACAATAACTTGGAAGATTGATATTTGCATGTATAATAGAGAAAACATAGATCCAAGGTATTTAGGATTGCATGTACACCTTAGGAGTGTTAGAATGCTCAAAAACCTTTAGTGGTATCAGAGCCTACGCTTGTTTTGATTTATACTTGATGCAAATGGCTGAAAATCGATGTTTGTATGTTGTCTGCATAGTTGACTTGACGTGTCCAATAAGGGACTTGACGATTCCATGCCTAAACTCATCCAACTCGTCGATTTGGTTCATGCACTCGATGAGTTGGACCCCCATACAACATATCATCGAGTTTTAATGCTGGAATTGGTCTGGAATCATTAACTTAAACTGTTTTGGATTTATAAAACCTATTTTTTATGTGGTAATGATTATGGTAAACCAATTTCAAAGCTATTATCAAAATTTCAAGTTTTATGTGTGTTTATTTAATTATTGAAATTGTTGATAGGATTGTTCATACACTTATGATTTTGGTAGATCATAGGAATTATTTGAAAAATTGTTTGTTAGTTAATTCTTGATCTAAATGTATTTTAATGGAGTCCATAACTTGACCTCAAGTTATGGATTACCAAAAGTCATTTCTTTTAAAGATCCATTAAAATGCATAAGTTATAAAGTTGAAGAGTCTTTCTCATAAAATAGTTTTATGGAGTCCATAACTTGTCCTCAAGTTGTGGATGTTCAAGAGTCTCTTCATTAAAGTTTTTAACCCCTTAATTTAACTCATATGTTATGAAAATCCAAAGGTTTTTGAATTCATTCCATAATTTATAAAAATGAAGAGTTTCATTTTTAAAAGCTTTAAAGTCTTCCATAACTTGTCCTCAAGTTATGGAAATTGAAGAGTTTTTTCATTAAAACTACTTTAAAATCATAAGTTATGGAATTGAAAAGGTTTTAAAAAGTTCAAAACTTGCCCTGATGTTTTGGAATTTGTAAAGTTTCCTCTCGTGAGTACTTTAATTCCAAGTTAAGCCCTTAGACTTTAAAAAGTTAAAATTCAACCCTTATACTTTATAGTATTATAAGTCAATACAATATATGTATAATAGCAAGTCAGTCTTACCGTTAGTAGGCCTCATATACGAAGCCATTCTATAAGGGGGGTATAAGGTTACTACCTATAAAATGACAATTTAATGGGTATCCACTCTCACCGACCGCTTCCTTGATTGGTGGAGGGTCGTTAGCCGAACGGGTAGGACAATGACTCACTACTAGAAAACAGACCTTTAATGACGCGCTTTTTACGACATGCACTAATTAATGATACGCAAAAGGACGTGCCCTTAAAATAGTGTTATCTCTCCAAAAAATTTAAGGATTTACGTCACACATTATTGCATGCCCTTAATTTAGTGTCTCAAGAAAAAAAATTAAAAACACGGAGGGTGCTTTATATTAAACGCGTGTCGTCTGTACCTGTCGCTTTATAATTTTAATGAAACGCGCTTTTAGTAGACAAGGGGGGAAACAGAATCTCCAAATTTTTGAAAACCCGCCTTGTCTTTTTCTATCTTGTATCTATCTTTCATCCTTGCAATCCACTCTCCCCTCTCTGATACTCTCTCCTCTAGATCTCCTTTCATTCTCTACCTCCCGTGTCTCTCTGTAAACCCTAAGCCATCGCCACCTCCCTTCTCTCTAGCACGTGCTAGGGTTTTATTTTCTTCCAAGCTTCCGCTTCTCTCATTTTCTCTCAACCCAGTACGTGTGAGGGTTATGAAATAAAGAAAAACCCAAATGCTCCACAAAGACTCCTTTATGAAAAATATCATGTAAATTCGTAGAGACGGAGTCTGAAATCATAAAGAGGAGAACAAGAAGATAAAGCGAAGGTGAATCGTAATTGATCCGCGAGGTTTCCTCATTATTGGCGTCGACCAAATCTAAAACCTCGAATTCAAAAAAATTAGAAAAGTTAAAGACCCTTCCATTGAAGGGACCATTATCTAGGGATTTTTCAAGGAGTGCTCTCTGTAATGTTCTCTCCCTCATCTCATCTCCTATCGGCGACCTCAGGTCATCTTTTTCCACCGGCGACCTCGACTCATCTATTTCCACCAGCGACCTCGGGCTCACGTCACGTCACCAGAGACTACAACGACTGCTCAACATTACAAGCCCTAAGTATGATTAAGGTATGTTTTTGTTTACATGGTCGGCCTTATCTTTATCTCGACACTTCTCAACAACAGTTGTCAACTTGCTCAGCCGACCGCTGTTCTCCACATCTCCAACTTCTTTCCTTCCCATGGTCCATCAATTAGATGTAATTAGCCAAAGGTATGTTTTGGGACCTAGAGACGTGTGCTCTGCGCTGTGGCCCGGTTGCCCACCGCTCGGTCCTGTACTACCTGAAGCGATCTCCACATTCTCCAAATTAAACACGAATTGTTGTTTCGGGTGACAAATCTAAGAACCGAATACTTGACTAATATAGTAAGGGAACTTCTTCTATAAACCAAATGATCAAACTTTAATACAAATGATCCATCATACTCTGGGATGATGACTAATTTTTGTGTCTAACATGATTATTAAGATTATTTGGGCGGGCTAACATGTAAAATGGACACAGACATTGAGTCTTTAAACAATACTAGACTAATTTAGTTAGGGACCTTCTTTTAACCTAATGACCTGTCAGAAATGGGGATGATAACTAGTTTTTGTGTCTAACAACTAACAAGATTATTAATCACTTATTGGATTCTTCAGGTTATTCCCCACCACGTGATGATATGCTTAACATGAACTTTCAAGCCCTTCCTCTAGCAGATCCCTATATACCATCAGGAACATATTTAAGGTTATTTGATCAACTTTTCCTTCTTTTGTGTTTTGTCAGATCAGATGCTTATGAACCCATGCAATTTACTTATGTTTTGCTCTGTATGTTGAACTTTCATCAGACATATGGGGACTCCTCATTCCAGGATTGTAAGAAAGCACCAAGTCTAGGTTTTGAAAGCCCTTCTAGGCTTCTTAATGGTGAAAGCTTGAAAGTCGAATCAATTGCTGATTTTGATCTCTTCTTTAAGAGGCTGTATAGCTACTACTGTGAAAAATGTCTATGCTGCATAATCATTAAGTGGATTGTTGAACTTATGAGTTTGGCTTTTACCATATGTTTTTTGGGTATTTGACCTTTTTTTCTTATTATTTGTTGATTGGAATGGTCTTCGAAGTGAAAATTATGGCATACTGAACAAAGGGGTGCTAAGCTTCCTGATATCTTCATGGGTCCTGGGTGCGGGGCCCACCATCAAGAAAGGTCCAATCTACTTTCCAAATCACCAGGTTTATAGTCTTTTTTCTCTTAATAGTCAAGCATAATTTATATATTTAATGTTCTAATGCTTTGATTTTGATTTCGATGAAACCTATGTTGATACAAAGTTATATGTATAGATTTTGGTTTAGAATAAAGATTTATTTTGGGTTTACTCTTTTGGGAAGAAAAGACTTATTTTGGGTTTACTATAATGGTAAAAATCGTCTTTAATTGTGAATTTTAGTTAACTAATAAGCCCTTCTTTGTTTCCTGGTTGTTCCTATCCTAAGAGTTGGTATTGCATCTGTTTTGACATTAAAAGAAACATCTAATAATATTATTATTGTTTATGTTGTAGCCAGAATCAACACCAGGGTACTCTTCAAGTTGTCTATTAAGCTCCATATTTGTTCACTAATCAACAATTTCCTTAAAAGGTTAGTATATTTTCTTCAAATTGTTCTTAAAAACATTTGTTCCCAAGCGTTATGTGTCTAAATTTAGTTATATTCCTAAACGATATATAAATATGAATTGTTGGAGAAAAGAATTTTATATATCGAGGAATTGCTCAAGACCTTTGTACAGATGGGTGTAAAAGATTAGCTTATTGCCACATATCTATTGAAACTGGAGTCATTGCTCAGGTAAAAACATTTTCAAATTCTTTTTTTATTTAATAAAAACACTTAGTTTATGCTCTTAATGAGCTTAATTAATGACAGGAAAATGGTTCAGCAAGAGTGAAGATGGGTAAAACTGAAGTCATAGCTTTGACTTGTCTTCTCAACTTGTTGACCAATAACCACAGAAAAAAAGTATTAAGAAAGAAGCTTGTTGGACTATATCAAAAATTTTGCCGAGTTCTGATGACAGAGGCAGGCTTCTTAGCTTTAAGAAGAAAGACCTTATATGGGTAACCATACCATAACATGTCGTACTTCCTAATGCTATATATATATATATATATATATATATATATATATATATATATATATATACAAAGCTATACACCACAAAAAAAAGTAAGATTGTATTATACTATATATATATATATATATATATATATATATATATATATATGTATATAGTATAATACAATCTTACTTTTTTTTTTGTGGTGTATAGCTTTGTCCATAGGCAACATATGTAATGGAAGTCTTTATCCATCTTGGAGAGCCTTGTCATGTTTGTCAGCTTCTTGTGCTCATAGTTCAACATATACATCAAGAGTTGATGTGAGAACTGGATGTGATCTAGATGGGCTTAAACTTGTTGTGGAGGTCGGTCTGGCTCATCTCTCCCAAATCGGGCTAATTCCTAAAGTAGTAGTTGTATAACAAAGGTTGTGGTTGTGTGCAGGGAGCCTCTATTCCTGAGTGTGCTAATGGGACAAGCATTGTGATACCCATACCAGGAGCTGTGAGTGATGAGGATATGGCTGTGACAGGAGCAGGTGCACGTGTACATGACCAAGATATAACCAAGCTTCCATTTTTATCTGATTTTGAAGAACTGGAGGGCGAATTGGATTTTGTAACTCGTGTGGTTGTACTCACATTCTATCCTGCTGTGCCAGCCAGAACCCCTATCACACTTGGTGAGGTACCGTACATTGACAACTTTACTTCCCATCATCTCACTTTATTTTTTCCGAGGTTTTTCATTCTGTGAAGTTTATTGCTGTTTTCGTTCGGTTATGTATGTAATAACAGGTAGAGATACTTGTAATTTCTCTTCCATGAAGAGACCTTTTTGCTTCTAATATGAGGTTATGGGAACATATCAATAAAATCAAACAAGATACTCATACCGTTACCATTACCAACCCTTTGCCCTCATCTGATGCAAACAACAATCCCTTTTCTACTGATGATAATTCGCTAAAATCCAAAAATTCCAGTACCTCCTGGGTAAACCTATTATCGGGTGATGGCATTATATCCATTTCACAACCAATGCGACAAACTACTTTACATGATCCATTTCTCAACCCATTTCATGATCATGATGAAGCAAGTGAGCCTCCTCCACGTAAGGTCTCTGTACCTGTACCAACTGAAAGTGGTTCACAACAATATATAAGTTTTTTTAAGTTGTCAAAACAATTATTTAATTATGTTATGTTAAGATTTTGTGGTATATAGTTTTTATATAAACATTTAAGTTGGGGGTGATTCTTTTATTTCATTAGTTTTTTTTTTTTTATATTTTTGAACTTTTTTTATTGATATACAATATTATTTTCTGAAAATAACTAGATATTACTTCTATCTAGGTTGTAATCAGCTTTTGTTATGTTTGTACTTTGTTGATAGAAGTCTGAATTAGGAAGACCAAGTTCTGCCTCGAGACTCATAACTTCAGGTATGATAAGTTTTTGATACAACTATTCATAAAAATTGGAGCTTATGTGGTAATATATATGTCAACAGTTAAATGGTTTTTGAAAATATCATTTCTTCTGTATCAGAAAGATTAGAGAGAACCAGATATAAATTACAGTTGGTCAAGGTTTTAGTGTCAGACGGGTGTTACCTGTATCCGAAAATAAGAGAGAACGAGTTGAGTTGAGGGAGAACTGATGTAGAATAGATTATGCAAGATTAACAAACCTGATCGCAATGCCACGAAGGGAGCTCGGGCTGCTCGATTACACCGTAACAAAATGGTAATTTGATTATCTTACTGGAACTTGCGATATATTAATGTTCCTTTTTGAATTGAATCATAAAGAATGACTTAATAAAGAAAGTATGGGGAATTAGGCTTTACCCTTTAATTCCCGACTTTTTACATATTTTCCCCCATTGATTGTTTGGTTTGAATGATTTAGATGAGAGAGCAGAAGAGAGCTGCCCTTTTGAAAGAGAAAAGGACTACAAGTGCAACAATGTGAATATTTCTGGTTCCAGTTCCATCTCTATTTTGCAACTTTATGTTTGTTATAAAGTTTGTCAATGGTATAGATAGATACTTAACTCACACAATTACATGACCAATTCTACAATTTCTTGGCAATTCAAGCACTGATAAAAGAAATAAATAGTTTATACGAAAGTAAACACATCTTAAATATTTGGACTAATAACTGTTGAATATTTGTTTCTAAATTTATCATTGATTTTTTTATATCACAAAGAGTCAATCTGTCTTGTTGGAAAATTAATTAAGTATTATTTCATCATAGATTCATCGGACCTTGGTGTAATTATGGAACCTTCATTGGCTGAACTTTATCACAACTTAAGAAAAGAACTCGCTGAGTTATTCCAGTATAAAGTAAGTAATGTATCCTCTCTTATTCATTATTACTAAAATAATGATCTGGAACACTTCTTGTATAAAACTATACATAATCGGTGTGTTTTATTATGATTACAATAGTAATAGAGTTTTTTGAATAAAGCAGTTTTTTGATACTTCTGTTTATGGTAGTGGGTTTCCACGTGCAGCTGATGAAAGACCATCGCCATTGGTATGTATAGCTTGAGTACATCTGTGGCTTAATCTTAATTCAGTTTTATATTATCTTATTGTCAAGTTTGTTTAGTAAGCTTAAGAAGAGTAAACATGGTATCCTTATCTCATTTGCAGTCAAACCACAAGCTTTCGGGGCCAATTCAGTTGTTGAGACATTTTTTGAATTCAAACACCTTCTTGTGTATAAGATCAATAGCAAATTTAGTACTTTCTTATGTATAAGTTCTATTAGAAGACAAACATATTTTTGATCCCTTTGAGATTTATCCATTTGCCTACTATTAGAATGATTATTTGTATGACAATAACTTTTGTGCAATGTATTATATTTTTTGTATATGGTATTTTATTTTTTTATTAGGAGACATGAAATGGAAATTTAATTTGAAAATTAGTAAATCTATAAATAATTTTTTTTAAACATTTAAAATTATGATACGCAAAAATGTGTGTCATCTTCATTTATGACATGGCCTTTCTTGACAGGGGATTTGTTGATACGCATTGCGTGCCATTAACACGCGTGTCGTAAGGTTACGACATGCGAATGCGTGTCGTCTTCCTTTATGACAGGGCCTTTCTTGATACGCATTGCGTGTCGTAAATGCGCATCGTAATTGCACGTTGTAAATGAGCGTAGTAAATGTGCTTCGTCTATAGACGACACGCAAAAGCGCATCATTTCTCTTTATGACAGGGCCTTCCTTGACGCGCATTTGCGCGTCGTCTCAGTCCTTTATGACGCGCAATGAGCGTCGTAAAAGGCTGTTTTTCTAGTAGTGACTATAATTCTTTCTTCATTAAAAGTATAATAATAAATACCAAGTAACTAAACACTTATGAATTCCCAATCTTAGTTACTTAGGAAAATGTGAATTTGGTGCTAACCCATGAAATTACACTTTGCACTTTGTTTAATTCGGTTAGTGGAGCGTGTGTAGTTAACTGACACACTAGCTTGATTTAACAAGGTAGGCAAAGGGTAACTTAATGTTTATCATTGTATTTGTGGAGCGCGTGTGGTTAACTGGCACATCGATTGAGTGATAAATATTAAGGCTACCAAATATATTTGCATGGTTATTCACAACTTGTTTTGTGATCCTCGACATCGCACTCACAAAACTTGAGAGGGCACAATCGAGATTGAAACATGCCATTGAAAAGTTTAGTGAATCTCAAAAGATCTAGGAGTTTCAAATCTAATTAAAACCTAATAAATTAATTTGTTTTTCATGGTGGTAATTGGTGAATCGTCATTCACATACCTTCAAATATTTTGTATCTTGGATTACGGCATCCCTCTTCCAAGTTATAAAATATTGTGTTGGGTCCTAGCCTTAATATTTCGTATTGGGTGTCATATTAAGTACTTTAAATCAACTAACTTGAATATCTCCCATATTAGATGTCTGGTTTAGACATCTATGATCATCCCAAGTCCCTTGGAACAAGCTTTCCTAATGATGATGATGTTCCATGGTTGGATAATGGAAATCATACTTCTCTTCCTCCACCTCCTCCAATTATCCTCCTTAACCCACAAGTTCTTGAATAGTTCAAGGTCAGTCAAGACGTATTGGCAAGCAAAGTCTATGTGTGCTCACATCTTGGAGATGAAGTCACATATTGAAATGCCAGGAGAGTTGGGTGTCAAAGTCTTGAGGAAGTTGGTTGTTGACTAGGGTCTTCAATCACTTTCTATGTCACATAGTGAGCTCTTTGGGACTACTATGTAACAAACTATGACATGAACCTTAATGATCATACCTATTTGCTTGATGCTTCTGAATCAGAAATGATTTGGAGCACTGGTAAAGCAAATTTTGTTGGAAGATCAACTTCCAAACGTCCTTGGACATTGACAATGGTAACATTGGTAATCCATAAAAGCTTCTTCTTCCCAATGGAAAGGGATCGGCCATAGTCAACTCGGTTGACCAAATGGTAAAGAGAAAGGCTAACTCTGAGATTGTCACGTGTACCATTCCCAAAGGGTTTAAATGTGTCTATTGCCAAAGGAAGGGGCATTGGTTGCGAAGCTGCCCTAACTACCTGAAAGATCTGAGAAAAGGTCAAGTCAAAAAGTTTGATTCGGCTTCTGGTAACTCAACTATCTAACTCTATTAAGTTCCTAAGTGTTGATTCTTGGTAAATGATGTAACATGATCAAGCAAAGGGGAAGGAAACTTAAAGGAAGAGTATGTTGAATCTAATCGCGAAGATGGATTTCAATCACATGGTTCGAAGATTCGATTCTTGAGCTACTACTTAGGAGTTATGATAGATTGATAGGAAATATGTAATAGCATAATTTTCATTTAAAGTTGCATTGAAAGGAAAAGTTTTTCCGCATTTTATAAATAAATAAAAATTTGAGTTTATTTTAGTTTATATCTCCTTGCAATGGCTTTTATTGAAAAATTGATATTTGTAAGTTTCTAGAAATAATTGAAATGTGAATTTGATTCTTTCATTTGTGGTAATGTCTAAATTTACCAAATAAGGAAATATTCTCATTATTCCTTATTCACATGTATATGTGAGTCAAGTGAAGGACTAAAGGGATTGAGGACATATTCTTGTGTACTGGTCAAGTCCACCACAAAAGATCGATAAGACTATTCGTCATGATTTACTAAAGCTTAGTAAATATGGTTATACATATAGGTTTAAGTATAATTCTGAAACATTGGAAAAGTTTCGATGTATGGCAGAACTAATGAGAAGAATCAAATTAGGCTGAAAGATAAAAGTTTCTCAAATCTGAAAAGATGGGAGAATACTTTAGTATCATGCTTTATGATCATCTTAATGATTGTGAGACCATATCACAATTCATCCTCTAAGGACATCTCAGTGCATTCTTATGGCTAAGAAATGGAGTCATGAATTGTTTAAATGGTTAAATCAAGAAGATGAGTCATACTTCGTTCCAAAACAATTCTTAGATTCATACCCCAAGATTTTAACTTGAGTGACACATCTTAAAAAAGGTTTATTAACACTATAGTCAAATGTAAGAGTAAAATGTGTTCTACTCTTGTACATTTGAAATTGGTAAGTTGTGATGTTCTGGATAAAACAAAGACCAACTAAGGCCAACTGTATGAAGTGTTTGTCTTGATAAGAATGCGCACCATCTCTTGAATATTTGGAGTCTTGTATGTCAAGAGGATAGTGGGAATCTAAAAGATCCTGAAAGAATTTTAAGATCTAATCAAGAATAAATCCTGTAGTTTATCACTAGCTCATGACTTAAGGTTTATAACCTAACGTGTTGACATATTCCTATTTCTATGCCTATTCCATTGAAAGTTGGCTTTGCATATGAGTTCTGAAAGTTCTCAGTTGTTTGCATAACTACGTGGAAGCAATGGCAGGCCCTTGTGCTGCTAGGTGGCATGAAGTTAAGGTTGCACAAGTTCGGTTCAGTTGAGTTTGGATTTGTCAAATTCACATGGATAAGAACACATACACCATAAAATCTAAGTGTCATAAGGTTTCTCTCCGATTCATGAAAATGATGGTGAGGAAACGCTTTCACTAAGTAGGTTTTAAATAGATTGCAATTGTGATATTTGCATTCTCAAAGTCGTTAGTGGAGCGTGTGTGGTTAACTGCCACACTAACATGGACTTGTGAGGAATGGCAAAGGTCTAAAAATTGAGACTATGATTACGACATCCTTTTTCATGGTTCTAAAATTGTTTAGACATACATGTGTGCTATCTAAGGAAAGGTGCATGATTTTGATATCGTAAAAGAACTCTGAACTTTGGTAAGAAAGTCAATAAAGTATTGATTTCTATAAGTCCAGCTGATTTCTGAGTACATGTCAAAGCTAGTAGGAGCATAAGTGTTATGATGATAATTATCATGTTAGTGGGAGCATGATAACTATAATAAGTGTTGCAATTTAGCAATGTTAATTATAGAAAACAAAAGTTTCAACTAGGAAAAGTTGATTTGCTATCGTTAAGCGAAAGGAAATTATACTTCATTTCAAGTCTAAAAGCTTAGATTGAGGGTTTAATCATCTTTAGTCAAGGATATATATATATATATATATATATATATATATATATATATATATATATATATATATATATATGAATTTTATGTTGGAATGGCTCAACATAAGGAAATTATTTAAGAGTCGAAGACGTGTTGTAATGAGTCGAAGACTCCACCCTTTGTGTATTTTGTAATATATTTACTAAGGTGTCTTAATTTTTGTAGCTTAAGTGTAATGTCTTAGTATTTTTTGTATACTTTCATGTTTCCTACAAATAGGAACTTTACTTAGAGCTGGATTCATAACTGCGATTTGATTTTCTGTTGAATCTATTGTATTTGAATCGTAAAATTTGATTCAAAAGTTTCCGCATAATTAGATTCAGAAAATCATCAAGGATCATAAGTTTTGATTCGATTCTACATTGAATTTTCTTAATCGAGTGTTTGTTCTTGAATTTCTGTTCAATTCATTCAAATACAAATTTCTTCAAACTTTCTGAAAATTTAAATCTGTACAACAATGGCGAATTTTAACATGAACACAATAACTTATTTCTCGCATCTCTGAGGATCTTCTACTAAAATTCCAATGCTAATTCTAGAATATTACGATCAATGGGCTGATGGAATGGAAGATTATCTAAATGGATTAGATGAAGAATTATCGAATTGCATCTCTAAAATTGCTCAACTTCTAGCAAATGTTAAAAACATTGGATCTTCGAATTAAACTGTTGCTGTTGATGAAAGATCTGGAAGAATGAAGAAAAATGAGAAACAGTGTCTGAGGGAGTTGAGAGGCGCATTGCCACCAATGGTTTACAACTATGTTCATGGTTGTAAGATTACGAAGGAGATATGGAATACTCTCAAGGATAAGTATCAAGGAAGCAAAAAGATGAAAATTAACTCTATGAAGCAATGTTTGGTGGAACTGTAGGAATTCTGACAGAAGGAAAACATGACAATCGAGGCCTACTATGATCACTT